CCTGTATTCTAGCAGCTTATGTTGTATTTATTAACTGTTATAATTAAGTTTAAGAAACAAAGCTTTAACAAGGGAACAAGTATATATTGAAGTCAGTATGGGCTGAAGCCATCACAGGCGAGAAAGGGTCCAGTGTTTGTGACAATAGAAGAAAGTGGCCGTAAAGAATATTTTTGTTGACAAGTAGTGTTGATAAGTAAAGTTGCATGGTTAGGATTTGAACAGAATATAAGTAGATTATGGAGGACTTTAACAATTATAGAACTTGAGATTTAATCTAAACACATACATGTATATATATAATCGAATGTTCTTAAATGTTTTTAATTGAAAAAAATGAAATGAAGCTCGGTTTTAGGAATATTAAACTGAAAATACTCTTAACATTTATTGAATGCTTTTTTTTTTTTTTTTTTGGAGAATGTGTAATACGCAAGTGCTATAGACTGAATGGGTTCTCCCCCACAATTTATGTGTTGAAATCCTAACCCCACTGTGGTGGTGTTAGGAAGTGGGGCCTTTGGGAGATGATTAGGTCATGAGGATGGAGCCTTCATGAAGGCCTTAGTTCTCTTACAAAAGAGACCCCCAAGAGTTTCCTTGCCTCTATCATCATGTGATGACACAGCATGAACACTGTTGTTTTTGAATCACAAAGGGGCCCTTGACAGTCCCTGAATCTACTGGAACCTTGATCTGGCTCATCCTGTCTTCTAAACCCTACTCATGGATCTGCAAGACATTGTTATAGGGCAATGGTGATTATCCAGATAATTCTTAAATTTTAATTGAGGGAAAAGTAGATTGAGGGGCTGAAATGAAGGCCAGGGAAAAGTCAGAGAAAATCCCTTAAATCTTTGTGGTACAGCAGCAGAGGTAGGGAAAATTTTCAGTGCCCACCATTTTTTTTTTAACTCTGCAACTTATGAAAAAAAATTAGGGAACTCTATAATTCATACTAAAAAGAATTGCAGCACATGCAAATCAGATTTTAAAAATATGAAAGAAACATCAATGCTTTCCCTACCCCCAAAATATTCTCATACCTTTTGTTCTGTAGAATTCAGTAAAAATTTGAATTCAAGAAGGCTAAAAACAAACTTCAAAGATGGCATTGCAAGAGATGAATACAGTTATCAGAGGAAATAAAATTAAGACTAGAGCAACACTATTTTAGAACTACTTAGCAGATGAGAAATAGAATACAACTGATACCAGGTTATTATAGCAGGAAACTTAAGATAATTACAGTGTGCTCTAAGTAAAAATTAAAGAGAATAGATGTGAATGATGATAAAGGCATCCAACATATGGATAATGCTTATTCTCAAAGCTAGAAGAATATTTCCTTGAAATGACTAATTCTGTAAGACCAAATGGGCATAGCTGTGGGAAAATTGAGGAATAACAATTGCCAAGTAAGCATGTACTGATTTTGGTTAGGATTTTGAATTTCCTCATAAAGAATTCTTCAGACAGGGACCTAGGTGCCAAAAACCAAAATCAAAACTTAAAGAAAAACTCTGCTTGACCTCTTGCATCTCCACAATATTCACTATCCAAATACAATGAAGCTGTGCCTATGAACTTTGGAGGGAATGCAAGTGGAATCCAAGGATGTGACCATCAGCCAAATTGTCCATTATAAAGATGATGAGGGGAAAAATAAAATACAATGTCTACATGTATTATTAGAACTACTGATGTTGAGATCTATCAGGTAACATAGGTGAACGAGAAACGGAGTCTAAGTATCAGGATAGTACACGGCGCTTGGTGGTGGTGGAGCAGTGACTACAGATCTGTGAGGGAGAGAGGGAACCAAACTTTTCTTCCCAAATGTCTCTTCTTTGAGTCTAAAAGCAAAAAGTCAAAGAATCTAAAAATGTCGAGGCTTTTGTAAAAAACAAGACCAACTAAAAAAATTCCTTGCAGATACAGTTCATCACATGAAGAAGTGAATTAAAAAGAACTTAGAAATGGAGAAATTTTGTATAAAAAGTGTTTTGGGATGTAGATATGTCTGCATTGTGGGTATTATGGTTCTAGAATAGAATGTGAGTATAATAAATCCTGTCAGGGTAAAAATAATATGACCAGAACCAGGCTTGAGGTGAAAGTTAAAATGTGTTATTTGTTTCCCCCTCATAGAAGGAGGTCAACAAATACTGACAAATGAAATTCGTTGCCATTAAAAATCCAATGTCTTAATGCTCTCCATGCTACCTTTTCTTAATATTTAGAAGCTTAGTGCTCTGGAAAATAATCTGAAGCTTAGCATCATCTTCAGGTTTACTCTATTCAATTTTCTTTCCTAACTAGATAAAAAAAAAAAAAACAGGAATGTCATCTCATTAGAATCTATTACTGCTTTTGTTCCTGCATCCTTTTGTCCTACTGCATATATTAATAGAGAGTTGTGGGAATGATATTTATCGAACGTTGAAGTTACGAGGTAGTGGAATTTTTGGATTTTTTTTTTTTTTTTTTT